TCATTGAAATTCAAAATACATACCAAATTAATGGTTCAGAATTTGTATTAAATATGTAGTTTTCCTGCTTTTGTGGATTTATTGAATAAGTGTTGTATATTCAGTGGATAAACATCATGACTTTCACTTTCAACCATAGGTTAAGGATAAGACTTATTTTTTTTGGATGACTCACGTGAAATTGCACATGTAGTATTTAGAGAAAAGACGTTAAATTGCATGTCATGTTTCATGCATTCTGGCAGTGTGGTAGGATGAAATATTAAAACTAGCAGACATTTTTTGATTTCACATTAAAGGACAGTAGAGGCTAACACTGTATGTTGAATTGTAAAAAGACCAGTCAAAATGCCCAAGCGGTCTTATCAAATAAAAGATGAAGCTAGAGAAAAGTAAGAAAATTTATTTGAATTCCAAAAGTGTAACTAAGAGCTACTTAAGATGTACTTCTAAGCAGATGTTGTATTTTTTCAGGTATATGTACTACTGTAGCTTTCAATGTGAACTTGGTTCTTATTGTTAAGATGTTAATTTTGTCATGCAAGTATTTTTATATGATTCTTTGATATCTATTTGGAGAGATATTAATTAACTCATTTTAAGGTTCTCGTAAAAACTATTATTATTATTATTTTTACAAATAAATGTGAACTTTTGTGATGAAATATAAACAGTAGAGATTTTGGTTGCCAAAACAATTTATGTAATGTATTCTATTTTAAATTATTTGTGTATCAATGAATTTTATTGATTTTATGTACATTAGTTTCATATTGTTAAAATGAATGAAAGATTGTGCATAAACATTTGAACTGTAAGCTTAATTGTGTGAATAATCAAACATACACTCTTGTGCAAATTATTTTTGCAAATAGCTGTTGAAAAATGTGTCCTTCATATAATATCAGTGACCAATTTATTAGCCAGTTTAGTAGTAGAGTAGATAACTTCTAGAATGTAATGCTAACTGAAAAAGCTTATTTAAAATCATTAATTTTATAGGTTTTTCAGAATGGTAGTAGAGGAATAACACTTTTATAAAATACATGGCTCATAAATTTTTTATAATTTGTTTTAATTATTTCTGTTTGGGCAGTACTGGGATTTTTTAAAAGTCATCTATTATTTTACTTGTACAGAATAATGCAAAAAAGAAACCTGTAGAGACATAAAGCTAAATTGGGAACATGCCTGATTTTGCTAAGGGCTATACCAAGGGTAGTGTGAATGTGGTGTAAATGTGCATCTTTTAAGGCAAGGATATATTAGATTTCTTTTGAGGAGTGCCCTGATTTTGCTAGCATGTCACCAGATAATTTTGTGTACAGAAGGAAGATACCAATGGGAAAGACATCCCCATTAAGTATTTGTTTGTTTTGTTTTTCTCAGAATTTCTGTGTGATACTTTAAAAATATTTACTTTTTTTCTTCACATAATTTTTCATTGTGTTCTTTGGATAATTTATATATCATATTAAGAAATTAGTTTCTTCTATTTTAAATTCAGCTTTTTTATTTATAGGCAATATGCTACAGATGTAGCAGTTCCAAGCTCTCCTGTTTGGACTTGCTTATCTCTCTTTGGTTAACTTGTGTACAGGATTACTGATGAGGAGTGGAATTCTCAGAAACTTGTTTAACTCAGTAACACATGTTGATCAAAGCGTAGATTGAACTGTACCTCCCTTAACTTAGACTTCAAGATTAAACAATTTTTGGAATACTAAATTTATTCATTAATCAGACTTTTACTGTCTTTTTTTTTTAATGATAACACGTGAAAACTCTGTTCTAACATCAGTTTCCTTTAACAGTGCCGTGGAACATGAGCAATCTGTCTAATCCAATTTTGTTTAGCATTCTGTTGCTGTGGTGCTTTAAAATGCTTTAAATTAATTTTATGCAGCATTTATAATTGCAGTTTATAGATTTTTTTATTATAGTGATATTTTAGCTTTTATAACATTAAAGCATATCATTTAATTTCTTATCAATTAAATAAATTTGCAAGTCCTGGAGTACAACAGATTTACCAGCAGTTGTTCATTTGTGTGTGTTGTTTATTGTACTGTGGTTTCCCTCCCAGAATTTCACCTGATAGTTAAAAAAAATATGATTACTTAGGACCAGGATTTTAAGTTTGACTGTATAGAACAAGTGCTTCTTAAGCTTTGGAGCACTAATTTTGACCCAACACTCTTAAGTAAGTGGCCAAAAATGTAGTGTAATTGGTTACAAATGCAAGGAAAACAGTAAGAAAATATTATATTTCTTAATGTGTTATGTTGTTAGACATTGGATACTTTTTTAATGATACAGAAATTGTGATGTGCCCTTTTAGTGATTAGAAAAATTGTTTTGACCCTGGTACACCATGCTATATGCTAATTTAAAAACTTAAGTATTGTTCTCCTAGAAACTTTAGAATTGGAATGTTGATTGAAGTTTTGTTCAAACAGCGAGAAAAAACTTCTAGTCAAGTACTTTCTTTTCTTTAGATGATTTGTGTGAAGACACTGCAATTTCTTGTGTACTTGTATAGTAGATAAGCTAATCAATGTCTTGTTACTCTCCAAGATCATCTAGACTGTTAACAGCTTGGTGATTTTTAGATCACCACATAGCATGAGTAAATATAACACATTTCACTATTTCAACTAGCTTCAGGGTTTGGAGTTTTAATCGCAGACTATTTCATGTCACATTTTGTCAGCTGTTTTAAAATATTTTTTTATAATCTATGCTAATTCTGCCATCAGAAATGTGACTACTAAATTAACCTCTTTCAGATAATGAGCTTGGCTGTTTGTCTGACTTTCCATCTGAGGCCTTTGTTTAATTTTACCAGTTGAAGAGAGTTGGTTGTTTCAGTTGTAATATCTATTGCCTTTGTGTATGATTACTGACTTTTCATTTTTAGTTTTTCACTCTTTGCATTCCCATTGTAAAAATTAACTTACAAAATTATGAAAAAGTCTATACAAGGAGATGCAAATGTCAAGCACCACCTACTGTTGATTCAGTCAAGGATACTCACACAACCAGATAACTTCCAAAATGATAGACTTAACTTATTTGCACACAGTAGCTAATTCCTCCAGCAAATGCCTTTGAGATTTCTACCAACAGAAGGATGACAATTCTTCTACAAACAGTAAATCCCCATAAGTACTCACATTCAAAATTAACTTCATTCTTATATTTGGCACTGTCTTTAATCAACATGTTTCTTTACATTTTAATTTAATCAATTTTGTGATATTTGTGCTACCTTTTCACAGTGTTAACTTTCTTTGGTTTCCTTTTAGTTTGTTTTATCTTTGATTTAAAACTACATCCACCCCAAATAAATAGAAGAAAAAAAAAGATATGGAGAATTGCTACCTCATTCATGAATCCTCAAGTGACAGTGACTACTCCTACTCCTGAGGTTCTGCAGATGCTTCTAACAGTGCCCCTATTTTATCTATAGCCACGGGAGGGTCATAGACTGTTTAAGACATTGTTGTCATAGTTCAGTGTGTTGTGGGTTGTTTCCTTCCTTGCTTCATCTGCTTATTCCTGCATTTGATCAGCAGTTGCCACCTTCTGGGTTTGCACTAAGTTCCTCTTTATCTGTTGAGGACAGTTTTCTTCCATCAAATCTCTTTGTGAATTATTCATGTTTGTTCTTTACTTTCCTTTTCTTCTATGTCTTTTCATTCTTTCCATTCCTTACTACATGACCCTCACACTGAAGATCGTTTGTTTTTTCTCTTCTTTTCTAGATATACTTGTCCCTGTTGACACATTCCTGAATCAGCTTCATTCCCACTCTCAAATGCCTTCTCCATCTTGACTCCAGTATTCTTTTGCCATGGCTTATGGCCATTCACCTTTTATTGTTCTTTGATTTCCAAATCCTAGAGTCCCTTCTACCTGCTTGTAGGGGCTGACTCTTTGTCTCCAGTAATACTCTCTAATGCCCATCTTCACCTTTGTCTTATCTGTCCTCTCTTCATCTCCTATATGAAGCTCTACACTGTGATCCTGATATTTTTTGGGGGATCAACAATATGTTATTTTCATTATGTTGGTCAGGGTTTCATCTACTGCCTTGTCCCTGCTTACTTGGTTCATCTGTTGTTGGGACCTTCTGGGTTGTGATGCTCCTCTTGTCTCTACTATTTGTCTTCCCCATTATTTCTTCTGTGACCTGCATCTGGCTCCTTTTCTTAAAGACTCAGGCCAAGAATGCTCAACACTAGTTCTCCCATTCCTCCAGAGTGTCTCATCTCTTACAACCTTATGAATCCACTTCCATTCCTCAACCCCATGAATCTTCCAATTCTCTATATTTTCCCATTTATTGTTGTTCTACTGCTTCTTGCCATCTCCACTCCTCTTGAGTTGGCCATTGCATGTCCCATATGTGACTCCTTCCCTTTGTACCCAGTAAGTTCAGGCCCTATAGGAGAAAGTTCTTTAGTAAAATCTACTTTATTAGGCTTTAAGAAGAAATTTGGTAACGGTCTGCCGATGTAAAAATGTATTATATATTTCCATGTATTTCACTTTGAGATAAATTATATGGGTTCAACCAAGGAGTTGATAAATTGGAATGATTAGAGAGATAAAGTTCAGCCAGTAATAGTAATTGTAATTTTTCCTTATCCTTGAATGGGAGATTTTTTTTAGACCTAGCCTGACATATGTTGCATATTGCTTAGATTTTTTAATTGTTTTCTTTACATGTATATTGTAAAGTATCTGTGGTAAGTAAATGTTTAATTGTAGCTTTAAGAGAATATGTAATGTACTTGATGTTTGTGTGGTAAGACAAATGTGTTGACATATAGTTGGGTTTATAAAAAAAGCTATATGTTAGATGTATATAAATAAGCATGATTATTTTGGCTTTAAGGAAAAATTTTAAAATAGCTATGGATTGTATTTTGTTCATTAAATTTTTTAAAAAATTCTTGGTATAAAATTCCATGTTTTGGATATATTACTTTCAGGATGAGAGAATTCAAAGTTGTTGTTCTGGGAAGTGGAGGAGTTGGGAAGAGTGCTCTAACAGTTCAGTTTGTCTCGGGAACCTTTATGGAGAAATATGATCCAACAATAGAAGATTTCTACCGGAAAGAAATTGAAGTGGATTCTGCACCTTGTGTCTTGGAAATTTTAGACACTGCTGGTACTGAACAGTTTGCTTCTATGCGAGATTTATACATAAAAAATGGACAGGGTTTTGTTGTTGTATACAGCATCACTAATCACCAGACATTTCAAGACATTAAAAATATGAAGGAACAAATTATGCGAGTGAAGAACCTGGAACGTGTACCAGTAATTCTTGTTGGAAATAAGATAGACATTGAGCAGCAAAGAGAAGTAAGCAGCATGGAAGGAATGTCCCTAGCCCAACTTTGGGGATGCCCTTTTATGGAGGCCTCTGCAAAAAATAAGTGCAATGTGAATGAAATGTTTGCTGAAATAGTCCGTGAGATGAACTTTACCCCTGAGATAGAGACATCCAGTCACTGTTGTGTTGTTCTCTGATGCAGGTTAGTAGAGTAATTATAAATTCAGCTCTTTTTTTTTTTTAATGTTCTTTACTTTAAATAAACTAAGAACTGCATTACAGTGACACTTAATACTCAGATTCTGTTTTTGTAGTGTTTTCACTAATGGTGAGAAATAATTACACAGTCTGTAATTATCATGGGTTCCAGATGAACACAAATTGTACATTACTGTGACAGTTAAACTCAGATTCTGTTAGTGTTATGTTATTTGGGAGTTGTGATGTGTAGAATGGTATCAGCTTTAAAATTCAATAGTTTTCATGGGTTCCATCTAAACGTTGTAACTGATGGTATTGTATACAAGTAAAAATAGGTTATTCCTTGATATTGAATAATTGTGATATTCCATTGCCTTATGTAGTTGGAACAGAGGTCATCTCTATAAACTATTGCCAGCATGTAGAGCAAAATGTTTTCACACAATTCATGTGGACTTGTGTAGTTGTTCATTATGCGTGTACCTATGCCTAAAATATTTTTATTTCTATCTTTGTATAATAGCACCACCTACTAGCCAGGAATATTTACACTGGATTACATGTATTATATTAGCACCACTATCAGAAACATTTACACAAGATTCTTTCTATATACGGACACCACCCTTTAATCTGGAAAAAAAAATACACTAAATTTAACATTCAGTAGTACTACTGGCTGGAAATACATATATCTGACTTGAACACCATTGGTAAAAAATGCTTTACTTTTATAAATTAAATTTACTTGTATAAACAGGACAAGTAACATTTTAATATTTAGTGAAGAAATTACTGAATCGAATAATTAAATAAAAAATATATTAATGACTATGGGTTGAAACATTGTAATTATTAAAATCAGAACTTGTTCACAGTAAAAGTTGCTGTTATTATATTTTTGAACTAAACATTTTCATTTGTGTAATTTAGATTATTTATCTGAAATAAAATAGTTTTTAATGTATGTTATTTTACACTTTATCATATTTTTAGACTTGATTTCTTTTTTTCAGTATGTTGATATATGGACAGCTAACAAATAAGCATACAGGAAGAAGATTGGGAGTTGTGCCTTTTTTTAATGGCAGAACCCTTCCACTGACCAGCATATAATGTGGACTGTTGTTGTGCAATAACTTCTATACTCCTTAGGTCACTTCTGAAATTTGCAAAAACATCTCCAGTAATTTCTTTGTGTTCACTTCTTAAAGTTAAGCTTCTCCACAGATTTACTTACTTTGTTTCAGCTGCTTGGTTTTTACATCATGTATTGTACATGTACATATGTGAGTTCATGAATAAGCATCAAATGGGTGCATTTGGTGAAATGAAAATTACCCAAGGCACCAGTGAGATTTTAGTAGCCAAACTTTAAAGTTAGAAACTTTAGGCAAAGATTTGAAACCAATATAAATTTTAATACGAAATAATAAATTTTAGTTACCTCAAAAGCTGTTTTAGGCAATGTGATGCTACTTTTATAAACTGACTCTATGTGTTAATGTTTGGTGCTTCCAAAGGCCAGTCAGATGTTGCCTAGTTGTCAGCAGTCTTTCAAGTCCATGATGTGTATCATAACATTTTATAGGACTTTATTGGCTGATATCATCATAATCTGGTTTTGGAGATCTGTTTAAGTTTCCATGTCAAATAGAAACATTGTATGATTTCTGTAAGATCCAAAGCCCAAAATGTTATGTTTCCTTTATCTGATGTCTAGAAGTCCTTGTTGTATATATAAATGTATTTAGGTAAAGGAAATATAATAATTTTGTGTAATGTCATTTGTATTGGTGGAAGTTTCTTATATAATTTGAAATTTTGTTATAAGAATGACCAAAATCTCTTGATAATGTATAGATGTATTAGTATTTGCTATATGTTAAAATTGAGAAAAAGTATAATGTGTTGGCAAAAATATTTGTAAGTAATTTTGCTTTATTATGGTGCTGTAAAGTATGTTTGTAAGCAATTTTTTTTACTACAATGCTATAAAAAAATATCTTTTGGATGCCAAATTATTTATGCTAAGTATATTATAGTATTGGGAAAAAAAAAAAACATGCCTGTGACCATAATTTCAACAACATTTCTGATGTAAAATTTAACTGAATATTTATGCAGTTATTAATGGATCTAGTCGAAGCAGTACAGAACTGGTGATTGTTTTCTCATAAACAGTCTAATCGTACAATAAATTAAAGCAGTAATTTGTGAACTTCTTTTAATATTAAAGCAAAAATGAAAAACTGTTTTCTCTACATTATAACTAAAATGTGCATGATAATATACATTGAAATAGAAAATGTTTCAGAACATTTTTTGAAGAAAAGTTGATATAATCAGGACAAAAATGTCTTACTTTTTAAAATTTCATGTTGTTTTTTTTTAAAGCTCTTAGCCAAAAATTGCATATAGATTTGTCGTTTGGGATTGATACATAATCTTTCTGTTTTGCTTTAAAAAAACCTAGTCTTAAGCCTATCGGGTAACAAAAAGGAGTTAATTTTTTCTGAAAAAAGTAACTTAGGATATTATTAGTCCAGAGTTTTCTATAAATGAAAATGTTTTCATTGTTGAGGAGTAAATTTCATTTATCACTCCCAGAAGATGAACAAGAAAATTTTCCTTGAGTCATTTAGACATTACTCTTATTAGTTACTTCCTTGAAGTTGGTATGTATTGAAAGTTAGACATTCATATAAACTTTATTAGCAAGTAAAAGCCACCAAAAATCTGCAAAATGAATGTTTGCTATTCTCTGCAAAACATATTATAAAGATAGGTGTGCAGGCCAGTAGTTTTAGTCCACATAAATGAACCATAAATTTAGTTTTGTAGTTGCAGTTGAAAAGATTTCACATTTGTGATATCTTCATGCCGAAGATTCGTCGCCCATTAAAAAATGTACTTCCATACTTCAGTTAAATGAGGAAATTCAAAATATTTTTTGAGGTTTGTGTAGAATGTTTTAAAATTGGTGATGTGCTTTTGTATTTTTAATTGGCATTCTATATCTGTAGTTTACTTCCTTAATTTTATTGCTATTGATTTTGTTAGCAGCTGACAAACTTTTGCTAATAATGCTCTCAGTTCTGTTTCTATACAGCTTAGAATTGTCATCATTTTTTTTGTTCTATTATGAGTTACCTTAATTTTATTGACCTTATGAATGTTATGCCTTATTTTCTAAAGTTATCATAAATCTTGTTTATATTTTACTTGAACTGTATAGTATCTTAGTAGTATGACACCTTGTAGTGAGCCCTCATGTATTGAAGTAACTATAATAATACCTCACTACTTAGAAAAGTAGTAATAATACTGTTATGTATTATACCAATGTTGCTTATGGAACAACAACATATTAGTTGAGATGATAAGTAATAGTATGTTTTTGCAGTCTACTGTATTTATGGTATCACATTACATAAAAGTGAAGTGGAAGGAATGGTGCCATACTTCTCAATATTACACGATGGGTTTATGTTTCACAAAGGGATAAATTTATATGACTAACTAGATTTAGAACAATATTCAATGAAGTTAAATTTTAGGTAGGTTTTCACTTAAATCTTTGATTATAATTGCCTTTCGTATTTATTATAAAAAGGATTTTTTTTTCTTTAACCCTTTTGTTAACAGACATTGTGCATTCTCAGGAACCAGGAAAAAAAGTTGGGAAGTTTGATGAAATATCACAAATTCTTTATATAATTGATTTGTGTATTTTATTAAAGAAAGACCCTTCAAAACATGTATCATTGGAAACAATGTGAGAAACTCTTATCAAAGTTCACCCATATGGTCCCTAAGAATAGAAATAGTGTATTAAGTACAACCTATGGTAAGCAAGGAGTTAAAATGGACTGAATATAGCTAGGTCTTTCATTTTTTTATGCTCTTAATTCAAGTTACGCTTCAACCTAGACAATATCAAAAGAAAGTAAAATCTGTAGGAATAAAGTATGTGTTAAAATTTAATATTTTATGAGTTAGAACTTTTGCAGTATTATATATTTTTTTAATGATTATTCAAGATTACTACAAGTCTGAGGGTATTAAGTTATTTTACAGGTCAGAAAAATATAATGAAAGCAAAGTATATTGTAGAAGATATCTGTATACACATACAAATACATATGTATTCTGTTTGTAAGGAAAGTATTTTAGAAGTAAACATTGTTTTTAAAGAGTTTTAATGTTTGTTGCAAAGCTTTTTGTACAACATGAAACTGTTGTTTTCCTTTTTTTTCTTTTTATGAAACGGATTAGACAAACTTTATAACAATCTTCAGAGAAATTTCTAGTTAAGCCAATGTTTCATGTGACATTTAGTGAAAGTTTGAACAATGTACAGTGTTCTGTCATGAGAGGTGATTGGCTTCTGTATGTTGTTTCATAAGAAATGACTTGTATATGTTCTATTATGAGTGTTCTGTATATTTAAGACAGGTTGATCTTATACAGGGATTAGCAGTTTAACTCAGGTACCACTTCTTGTAAAGCATGTTTATAAGATTGATGTATTTTTCATACTGTTTTATAAAGCCTGTAGCAAATGTGTGTGTGTGTGTAGAAAAGCATTTTAAACAGTTTCACATATAGTATTAAACATGTAATGCTCATTCCATAACTTGGTTATGAGTAATTCTTTCTTTATAAATATAAATATATACATATGTTGGTGTTTAAAACCATATCATAAACTTTGAACTAATTTCGCAATTAAGCTATTTCCACATTTTAAACAAGTGTTTTTTGTATATCAAGTTCTACTGTCTTTATCCAAACATTGTCCTCATGTGAATATAGTTTAACACACACACACACACACACCTAACTAAAGAGCCATCCTTGCAAGATTATTCATACTTGTAACTTGTCTGAAGTCTGCCATATTTAAAATCATAAAGATGGTACCATAAATTGCTTAAATAGGAATGCTGTTTTAAAAAATAAAGATGAGCTAAAACATTTAATGTAACACCTTTTTTTACATTACTTATGAAACTTTTATCTGTATTCACAGAGGCTTGCAGGTAACTATTATACAATTAGATCCTTTGTAGGGGAGGATATTAACTTTGCTGCTATTCCTCTTATGAAGCAAGAAAACTGGTTCAAAGAATATGATATGATAAAATTTTGAAAAACACCAGTTTAAAGTACATGACATTTTAAGAACAAAACTGTGATATGGAATATAAACTATAAAGCTAGATATTAATATATAAGTAATTACTTGTTAAGAGATATTGGTAAACAAGTAAAGAAATAGCTGTGGCGTTAAAAGGTAGAATTTACAAATATAAAATTTTCGTAACATGCTGGCAGAAAACAATATGTAAATAACTAAGCTTTGAAAAGTAGAAAAATATCAATACTTATACACTGATATACACAGAACAAACTTTGTACCAGTATAAAGCTTAATATACTGGTTTCTAAGATTGTAAACAGCTCAAAATGTGTACAAGTAGAGAACTTTTCTTAATACACACTTGTAGGAAACTGTATGTACAAGCAGAAAGCTATAGAAAATTGGTAAGCAGAATGCTGTAATAAGTTGAGATATTGAGAAGATGTACAAAAGAAAATGGTTTACTGTGCTAATGAAAAGTACAGCTTAAGTAATGACATAAACTTAGGTAAGTAATAAGGGAAAATCAAACATTTACAGATGAGGTCACAGTGGAAGGACATGCATACAGTTTGGTTAAAGAGTGGATAAAATGTGGTGGTATACAATATAGGAGTAGCAGGAAGTGGGCTTTTGGTAACAAAGCAGAAAAGTTGACATAAAGATGGATCTCTATTGATAAAGAATGTATATATTTAAACTATTTACCATCATAGCCTTAAAGATCATTTATTGTACAGTGAAGTCTTGAAATATAAACTAATCTTTGATTATTATTTATGTCAACAGATACTGTGTAATATTTTATAAGATGTGGATACCATGAATTTGTCTCTGTATTGTGCTTGTCATCATTGTTACAAGCTCATAAATGTGACTAAGAGGTAAACTCTCATACTTGTGTTAGATTTTGTGCATTTTTGAAGTGTGTTCTTTAAATTCCGCAGTTACTCGAGAAAGCAACTTGCTGTTTTAACTTCAAATTACTTCATAGTGTTTTATTATATAATTTCTTTTTATTTCAACTGTGTATTATGCGAGTTTTTTATTCTGTTTGAGAATTTTGTGTAAAAACCATATAGAACTATGTATCGATTGTAATCATGATTGTTATTGCAGTATCGAAAATTAAACATTATATTATAATAAACTGTTTAATTACTATAATATGCAAATGTGCTATGAAAACCATGATTTCCTTTATTTAAGTAAGGTCAGTGTAGGTGATAATAATGCATTTTTCTGGTTACAGATTTTTGAATGAGTGGTGTCAGTATGGTGCAATGCATCTTTGAAGATATTTATCTGTGGTAGCTACTTCTAACAAATACTGCAGCAATAATACATGGGACCTGTATTGTTTTTCTTCACTATTATGGGGTTTACTTCTGGAATTTAAATAGTAACATTATAGCATTGATAATTGTATAGTTATAAAACAAATTATGAAACATTATCACTAATCAACATTATGTAGTATTTTAATTGATGAACTATGAACTTGTCAGTTCACTCATGTGTTATGCATGTACATTGCCTGTATTTAAAGGTTTAAAATATCTAACCTTAAAGTTTTATCTAACTGTCTAATGAAGTTAGATGATTTCAAAGTTATACCTAATCTTCTAGATAGGTTAGATAGTTTCAAAGTTATATCAGATCACCATCTTTTATATGTTGTTTTTCTCAGTATATTTTTGATTAGTATTAAGAGTTTATGAATGAAATTGATAAGGTTTTTCTGCCTCTTTACATACTGTGTTAATGATAGTTCCAAACACTAATATAGAAAGATATGTCTGATATCAGTGCCAAATTTTATTTTGGAAAATTTGTGACAGAAACTAATATATATTTATTTTGTTTTACAATAAAAAGTGGAAACATTAGAAGTGAACCAGTGTTACATTATGATGTAAATTAACTGAATTAAGCGGTCAGTGTTTTAAAGAAGAGGTAACTCTTATAATACCCGAGTACTGATGTCAATGATATATATATATATTCCTTTCCCATATGAGCTGGGTTTGGCTTAGTGGTTAACTTGCCAGGTTGTGAATCTGAAGATCCATGGTGTTTGTCCTGTTGCAAAAAAAATAAAAATAATAATTATGCTCCACACTTTGGAGCCATTGTCAAAGCTTACTATTTGATTAGAGTTGGTGGTGGTATCTGTTAACTAGCTGACATTCCTTTAGTCTATCATTTCAAAATAAGAGATGGCTAGTGCAGTAGCTTTATTTGAATATTTGAAAGAAACAAGAGCTTTCCCAACTTACTTCTTTACTATCTACAGCAAAATTATATTATTTTTCCTCAACCAGTTTTAATCCATGGGGTTTCCAGGCAAATTCTTATACTTGGTAATTATGAATTATAAGATACTAGCGAAAATACCCGGCTTCACTCGGATTATTAGGTTGATATATTCTTGATGAATATGTCAGTGTTTGTATTCTGAGCCTATTTTAGTATAGAAGAACAGTCAAAAATATTAAACATTTTTATTTCACAGAAACACTTCTATGTAGTTTTTTTGCTAGCTTGCCTCATTAAAAAGGTGTGCACACACGCACGTGATCAAGATAAGTAACAATACCCAGATGCACATCTTCAGGGTCACTTAGTATTTTGTAATATAAGGAACCACTTCTTTTTTATGTTTTTTTTTTTTTTGCTAGATTGCCACATCACACAGATGTGCATGTTCACACACGTGGATAACTAATACCCAGGTGCACACCCTCATGGTACAATTAGTATGGGTGCAAAATTTAAGCTTTCTAGGTTCTTTCCTCTTGGACCTATGATGGTCACACACATACATGCCCTTTTATTATTATAAATTATTAGCTTCATGTTTTCACTGTTTTTAGTCACCAAGAATCCTAGAACGGCTTCTGGTATTCAGTACTTATTGAAGAAAACAACAAACATGATTTTTCAGTGATTTCAATACCTAGAAGTTCCAAAGCAACAACTGGCACTCATGAATGATAGATAACAGATTATTTTTTTTGTTGTTGTTTTTTTATCTGTGGAGTCACCGAGTGATTTTTGGTATTTGATAATTGGAAGAGATCGTTACCTTTACTTTGAATGATCTTAGTTCCTGGGAGTCACCAGGACATTTCTTTTGTCACACCTGTTTATCTTATAATTCTTTATGTTGGTCAGAATGGGTTGCTGCCTTGTTGGTTGAATATTATGGTAGAAATGTTAGAGATTCCGATTTTCTTTTCTTTTACTGTGACTTTTCTAATGGCATACACGACTTGGTATTTTAAAAGGCTTAGCAGCTTTTGGTATTCGATTAATAACAAAATAGCAGACCCTTACTTTTTATAGTGATTTCAGTTCCTGGGAGTCCTCAAGAATTTCTGGTACTTGATAAGGATATGCAAGTTTGGATGTATGAGGAATACTATACCTTATCATGTTGAGGTCAGTTTGTAAGTCTGTAGAACACTGTTGTACTGGATTATGTAGAAAACTGATTTATATTCAGAGATTTGTGATCAGATTAGCCTTGGTTCTCACTTCGCGAACTTGTGAGAATTTTCCCTGAGTTTTGTTCCGTTTAGGTTTAGTGTCAGTAACCACACAGTCTTAGTTACTTTGAGCAAAATTTAATATCATTGTCTGATGTCATGTAGAGAATACGTATGCCCGTGTTTATGTTAAATACTGTTGTTTTCAATGAGTTAAGATTATTGTTAATCTCTACCTGGATCGAGTTTAACTTTGTTCAACTCTGCTTAAGTTTTATTGATTCTTTCATTATCGTAATTTAATAACTTGTCCTTTGGATTCATGTCTACCTAAGAATATCACAAAATAAGTTATAAAGAACAATTATAGTGCTGCTAACCAGGATTTATTTTTGTCGAGTTTAAGTTTGACGTGCCTTTTTTGTGCTCCTATATACTTTTTATTAATCTTTAGTTATAAACTTTGTTAATATATGGTCTTTTTTCCATAGCTATTGGAGCAGAATCGCATGTGAAAACTTGTGTATTAAATTAATACATAGTGCATAAACTTAAAATTTGTTTAGATAAAAAATTTAAAAAGAATATTTTACTCCACTTATTTGTTCCTCGAGTCTGCTGTTATTCCGCGGGATTACCACAAAGAATGCATAATACATGTGGGACAGTGCTAGCGAAGAACTTAAATGTTAAAAAAATTTCGGTTAGTAACATACACAAAGAACAAATGTATGCAATAAATTACAACTACATTATTATGAAAAAATAGTAGTTGTGATAATATACACCTGGAAAAAAGTTAAGCACCCCCGTGTTTTTTTCAAGTGATTCAGATTCGACGTTCTTGTGACTGATTATAAATTACCATTCAATCTAAACGTGTTTATCAAATGAA